GTTTAGATATTGAGTGTGTTTGGTTTGAAATATACTACAATGAGTAAATGAGTAAGAAATGATTTATCATAAAATATTTAACTACTATCATTACTGTGTCTCCCCAAGCGAGATCAAATATTTGAGCTAATGTTTATGTCCCCCTCTTCCAGGGGAGGGGTACAGGTCTGATGATCCATTTGGGACCAGTTCTTGCTTTTGACAATAATCTCATCAGTATACAGGAGAGTTCCTATCCTCCTGGCAATCCAGTTCTGCTGAAGCACTGTGGAGGCAGGGTTGGGAGGCCCAGGAGACACAGGGGAACTCAGCCTGGGAGGGTCAGCTGGGGCAAAAGCTCTGCCATCCTTGCCAGGCAAAAACTAGGTTCTCTCTACAAGGGCAAACTGAAGGTTAGGACAGAGAATACAAGAATGGTCTTAGGGCTATCAACTTTTAAACTGTCCCTTTATAATGATTCCTGTGAAATAATTATTTCTATCAGTGGTCGTCTAATACAGGGGATTTAAGATAGTGGGTTCATTAAAGAAAGTCAGGATGACAAACTCATTTAATTCTCCTTGAACCTGTTTAATCAAAATGATTTTCTGCTACTCTCTATTACAAGCTGAGTTTCTGTGGTGACAGATTAATGACTGATCCACTAAGCCACATCACCTCTCTTGTCACCAACCCCACGACTAAGCCAGCCACCATTCTGTCAACAAGCATCACTTGCCCTTGAAACTCATTATAGCTGAGACATTAAGATCAAATGAGCAGATCAGATGCTCACCACCACCCCAGTTCTGCTACAGAGACCACCAAATCCCACAGCGTGTGCACAAGAAGGAAAAAGCACGTGGGCTGGTCCTGTGGTCTCATTAGAATTACAAACTCAGGTCACTCCGGAGTAAGATAAATGCCAGCCAAGGCAACACTTGAGTCTTCGGGCCTGCTAAAGGTAATTATCCCGGAGTTAAATGTCAGGGCTAGTTTCATGAGTGCAAAAGAAAGAAAATGTCATGTTTGGTGTAAACAACAATATTATTTTAATCAAATCAGAAGCTCATTATTAGCAGAAGATAAGGCCTGATGTGATCCCGACAATAAGCTGTGTCCAGCGCCTGGCTTCCCACTCTACCCTGTCTCAACCTAAGGCTCTTCACTGATTTCCCTCAGACATAAAGCAGCAAAGACTTGCAGTGTGATACCAGTGGAGGCTCACAGCCAAAATCCACTCCGCTCTTGATGCGCTGCAGTGCAAGAGCCTCGCAAGAGTCTAGAGTCAGACTGCCTGGGTCCAGTCCAGCTGCTCCACAGCCTAGCTCTGTGGGCAAAAAAACTTCACCTCCCAGTAAGTAAGAACAACAGTACTTCTCTCCCAGAATCGTTATGAATATTAAATGAGATACTATATGTAAAGTACCTTAAAAAATGCCTGGCACACTAAGTGCTGGATAAATGTTAGGTATCATCTATTTCTGCAATTTTTTTTTTTAATTTCAACCAGCATATACTACCTTTATAAGAAAAAAACTTTAAAAAAAAATAGAAAGAAATATTGACAGCGTAAGTTAAAGGATTTCATCCAGTAGACAAGTGTTTACCTGAGAGAAGAGATCGCATTTATTTAATTTGCTCACCCTTTTGGCCACTGCCTAGCACATGGTAGACAGTCAAATATTTGCTGGAATGAATGGACGTACAGATGAATGTAGGAATTAACAGAGGAAATTTCCTTATAGTAATGGTTATGCAAAGCCAAATGAGATTCAGAAAAAAATCAGGAAAATGGTTGTGGCATCCTGACCCCTCAACCTCAAACCACACAGGATTTTAACTCTGCACGCCAGTTGGAGCAGCTGGAGGTGGGAAATTACTGTACAACTTAAAACAAACATCTGCCTTCTTTATCTTCTCCTTCTTAATACTATATCTGTGCAAAAGTTTGGGTCTCCATCTGGCCAAAACATCCCAACTGCTAGTCTTCATAAAAGAATAATGACCAAACTAACAGGCCACCAATACACTTAGGAGCAAACACCTGTATGTTTTTATATTCCTCCTGGCTCCATTGCTCCAGGCAACAAGCCACAGAGTAGTTGTGAAAGTTTTACTTCTGGAAAGAAGGCGACAGATTATTTGTGTATCTAGAACAACAGGACCTCTTCAAAGCATTAAGTAGGGGCTATCAGGTCATCTCTGGCAACTTCACAGCACACTCAACAGGCACGGGAACACGGAGCACACGGCCCGCCACCATTTCCATTTCAAATTCAGCCAATAACCACCGCCAATGGGTATCATCAACTCTCTAAAAGGAGCCCTTAGTTTTCAGATTCACAAGTTCAAAAATCCCTTCTAAATATCTCTCCCCCAAATGCAAAAAAAAGTGACAAGTCAGGGGAAAGGCAAGAAGTTTTCTTTCACGGTGACTTTCAGAAACAAGCATCATAATAACCTCAGGGCCCGGTCTTTCAAAGTTAGCAGTGGTTTCCACAAAACTCAAAAACAACAGCAGAGAAGCTGAGCTTTGCTAACCTCAAGCAAGGCCTGGCTCAGTGAAAAATGACCAGGCTGGCTGAGCAATGACACCACTAGCTGGGGCTTTACCGACTGTCCACTGAACTACTGGCTCCTGTAGGAAGCAACTTTTAGTCCTTGGTCGCAGGGGACCGAGGCTCTGTGGTCATTTCAAGTAAAAGGCCCAACTGAAGACACTTGGACTTGGCCTAAAAGAGCATATAGTTTGCATTTCACAACACTTTAAAGAGGTTAATGGCATTAAATAATGTCTGACCCACAGCTAGCAACAGAAGACTCCAGGAAGCATATAAAATGGTTGATGATTGAAGATATTTGTGATTTTGAAGCATTTTGGATGTTTTTAAAATAGTATGCTGGATTAAATTATCATTTTAAAAGAATATATGCTGCTAAAAATATTAGTTTAACACCTAAAATTGCTCCAGAAACAAAAAAGCAGTGCATTTGAACATAGAAGCTTTTCTCTTTCTGTTAAGCTTTGGATATTTTTACAAGGCGGAACTTCCTAATCATTCTAAGAATTACCTAGAATGTTCATTTAAAATATGGATTCCCAGCACTCATCCCAGAACTATAGAATCAGAATCTCTGAGGAGGAAGGGGTGAGTGTGGGTGCTACAATTTAACAAGCACCCCAGGTGAGAGCTTCATGATCAGCCAGGTTTGTATCAATAAAAACACTGATCCAAGAATTTTAAATGTCACCATCTGCAAGGAAGATGAGAAGTGAAGAAAAGCCCAATCTTTCAAAATTTAAATCTGAATGGGAAACAAGAATAATTCCATATTTATGATACACCAAGAATAGAAAACCTTCAACAGACACAAAAGCAGAGTAAACCTTTCCATACCCAAAGACCAACAAGTACAGCCGCTTTCCATCTGACCCAGCTGCCACACGAACCAAGGCGTGTGCAAAGGGGCCCTTGTCCTCCACACCTGGCCCAATTCTCCAGCTCCAGCCGAGTTAAGCATCTGCCCTGTTCCTCAACTCTATCTAAAATGTAATGGCAAAAGAAAGAAAAAAGCAAGATAATTTCTACCCTATATGAGTCTGGGAATGGAAGCTTCCTTGGGGCATCTTTTGGGCATCTTGGCCATCTTTTTTCAGCTGTAGGCAAAAGCAGTCAGTGCAGGGCTCCTTGGAGCGGAACCAAAAGGGGATCGAAGATGGTTAACAGACTAGATCAGGGACAGGGGGACGTGTGGCAGGGATCTCATGGTGCAGGGTGTTGGGGGGAGCAATAAGGCCTCAAATAACTTGTTCAGTGAAAGTGTTTAATAGCCTCTTTCAAGGAAAAGACCACCATCAATGAGAGGGAGAGGGAAGAGGATCAGAGAGAAGAGAGATAAGTAAGCCCCCACTCAAGGCCTAGGCTCCTGTGGAATGGGACCTGGAGAGGTGTTCTTTAGAAAGTCCTAGAAAACACCTGGATTCATTGGATTCCTCAGGCCCTCCCTCTGCAAGGACTGGGCATGCCGGGCATGGGGCTAAGAGGAATCCAGTGTAGGAGGTGACTCACACACATCTCCCACCTCAGGGAGCCCTGTGCCAAGAACAGGGGCTCAGCAGTATGGGTCTCTCCCAAAGGCAGGAGTTCCCAATGTTAAGTATCATCAAAGTTTTTCCTAGTCCCCTAGAAGGTAAAGCCCCAGCCACCTGGGGCAGCCTTTGAAAGAGCCGGCAGCAGCTCCCACAGCACAGAGGGGATGCCATCTGCTGGAAAGACTGCGTCAGGTGCCTCTCGTCCAGCATCCTCTGGGGCGTACCTGAGGAGCAGCCAGCCTGAGGCAGAAACAGGCAGCAGATTGCCTCTGGGTGCCCAGGAATAACTTTCTCCCCTCCTACAGCTCCCTCAGAGGAGCAATCCTCTGCCACCCAGGCTCCCCCTCACAGCAGTGGACCAACTCCACGAGGTGCCTCCTCCTTTTCCCTTCCCCTAAAGACGCCAAGGGTCAAAACCACCATGCTCCCACCCAGCATTTTATCAGGCCTGGGGCCATGACTCTCCGAACCTCCTGGGACACCTGCTTCCCTACTCAATGAGCTGGGCTCACCCCAAACCTAACCTCTGCAGCAGGCATTCTCCTGGAACACCCTAGAGTTGGTCTAAATCGCCGCTGCCTAGGGAGGTCTTCCAGGGGGCTTGGCAAAGTCAACCATCAGTGTTAGGAGATCTCAGAAGCTTAAGGAGCCTCTCCCTCCGCAGCTGCTCGCTCTTTACACCATGTTTAGTACAGTCACCTCCCCCAGTCCGACAAATACACACACCTGGGCCACAGGTAACAGGCGGAGAGCATCAAGCCTTCGAAGTTCTCTTTAAAGTTCCTCTCAGGCAAGATGAAGCGCAGGAACCCCGAACCGACAAGCTGCCTGCGAAGTCTGCCCCATTGCCCTCCCCACCCGCTTCAGAGGCCCCCTCCGAGAGGCTCCCCCGCCCCCCGCAGGGCCCGGCGGCGGCTGTACTCACGTCTCGAAAGCGGTTCCAGTACCTGTCCCGGTCGTACTGGGAGACTGTGCTCAGCCACTGGTCATTGTCCAGGAAATTGCCGTTGTTGGGGCCCGCGCCTCCTGCGAGCGCGTCCAGGTGCCGGCTCTCGACCTGGAGGAAGCACCACGCCGCGGCGGCGGCCGCGAGCACCACGATAGCTGGCATCTGCGGGGCAGGGGCACACGGGGGCGGTGAGCGGGAGGCCAGGGCGGTGGCGAGCCCCGCGCCGGGCGCCCAGGGCTGAGCGCCTCCGCCACCGGCCCCCGCTGTCGGCGTGGGGGGATCTCCCAACAGGGACAGGGTCAGCCCTCGCACACCGGGGTCGGATCTATAGACCTAGGGACCCCGCTCATGAATGGGGGGCTCAGTTACAAATGAAGAGGCTGCGTCACAAATTAGGGGCCGCTATCAAACTACAGAGGACCTTGTCATCTATTCTCCGGGTGCTCCACTGGCCGCCACTCTCGGATAGGGGCTTCAGTACCCCTCCCCAAAAAACGGAGAGCCCCCGATCCGCAAGCGGCACTCCCAGAGACGGTGCCCAGAGCCGCGGGGTAGGGAGACGGGGAAGAGGGCTCCGAGCAGCAGTCCAGGCTCCGGTTGAATGGTGGGGGGGGGGGGGCTCAGGGGCGCGCGGAGATAGCCCCAGGCCCTGACCCGCCAGCCCCCAGGTCCCAACTATGCCAAGTTGGGGCGCGGGTTTCTGTGGGACACGTACCTTGGGGCCCGGCCCGGGTCCCCGCGTCCGAGTTGCTCAAGCTCCTGTGGCGCGGTCGCCGAGAAGGCTGATCGGCGGGCTCGCTCCCCTGCGCTCCTGCCACCCGCCGCCCAGAGTCCTGACGCTTTGTGAGCCCGCAGCGCTCTGGCTCCGCTCGCTCGCTCGCTCGCTCGCTCGCTCGGGCGCGGCGTCCGCGGGCGGAGGAGCCCGAGCGCACGAGCCGAGGCCTCTGGCGACCCCTGGCGGCTGCGCGTTGCTGTGGGGCGCGCCTGAAAGCCCCGCCGCCCCTGGTCCAGCTGCCAGGGATCTGGTTAGCCACATCTCAATGCAAGGATGAAATAAGCTTTCAGGCCCAAGCTGGTGAGAGACAGCTGAGGAGACTGAGGATCAAGGCCAAGAAGCGGGCCAACGTTTGAGGCATTCTCAAAAGCAAGGTCGTGGGGCCACTTAAGTCAGAATCACCTTGTTGGGGGGAGGGGAGGGCTTCTTAAAAATGGGAATTCCTGGCTCACGCCCCAGACTTGCTGAATCAGCATTCCTTAGGAAAGCCTGCCCGAGGTGAGTGAATTTCTGCACTGCCCATCCCAGATCATGCACGCACCCGCATTTCTGCACGTCCATGCCCTATACCATGACACCTGCTGTCAGTCTCTTAAAGACAGTCCTTCTGGCCTCCATTTCTATCATTTCCACAGCTTTGTGTCACCACACTGACCCTGTGGGCATCCCTTGGTGTTCTTATACAGAGAAGCCCATATCTACTTCTGTCCCCACCCCCTTGGGAACTGGCCCCAGCACCAGCCTGTTGGGTTTTCCTAGAGGGGAGGGAGGGGAAGGAGGAGAACCAGGCCGGGCTTCAGGGACAGGACACAGAGGCAGGAGACCCAACCCCCATCGGCTGTCCAGATCCTCAGGCAAGTCTGATCAAAAGGGCTGGAAGGCATTCGTGCAGCCCCTGCCTGGGTGCAGGGGACACTTACCTGCTGCCTTTCTCCTGTACAATCTCAACCCATTCCACAGACAGCTGGGTGCTCTTTTAGCACACGTCTGACGTAGTCACCCCTCTCCCCTCAGCACACTCTTAAATCTCTTCACGCTGCTTTCTGATAAGGACTAAACTCAAGACTAGGGCTCCAGGCCCTGCACAGCTGGCCCTGCCCACCTCTCCAGCTGCCTCTCATGCCACCCCCTCCTCCTTCCTTGACTTCCTGGACAGGCTGACCTTGGTATGGGCCTCCGTGGAGATGGGTTCCATCCATCACTGGGTGTTGACCTCTGCCTGGGCCGTTGACCACACCCGCCCCCAACACTGGCCTCACTGATTTCACCCCTTGGCTTAGTCACCCTGGCTTCTCCAGGCAGACTTGCTGAACCTGTGGATGAGGCCAGGATGCTGGTGACTTTCTCCTTGAGAACACAATGCTTCTCAGCGGTAAGCTTACTGCACTTGAAATCATTCACTCCATGTCTGTGTCCCTGGCTGCCTGGAGCTCTGTGAGGGCAGGGGTCAAGTTTGGCTTGTTCACCACTGTCCCCCGTGCCCAGAGCCAAACTCATGACATGAAGCAACTGCTCAGAAAATACTTGATGAATGAATGAATGGTACGCAACCATAGTCTGGAACCACACGCTTCTCAGCCCACATGCCCCAGCATGTGCGATACGGTCAGCTGTCAGTTGTACTGCAAATAATTTGGTTGCATGTAGTTTAATGCATAGAAGTTGGATTATGAGTTTTTTCCTAAAAAGTAGCAGATGCTTATCCCAACATTACTCTCACTGATTTACATTCCTAGAAGCTTTCTTAAAAGGGAGAAAAGGAGTGGAGTCACAACTATTATATTGGGGACTGCACGTCATCCAGTTTATTTTATCATGGGAATATTTTAGGGATTTCAATATCATATCCCGGGGTTATCAGAGCAGGAGAGAGGTTTAGAAATGATGGAGAGTACATTTCTTACTTTCGCATAGAAACCCAAGTAAGCAGCTACTGCCCCATTTCTCTGCCCAGTTTGATGGCAAAACTCCTCCAGAGAGTCATCCCCGGGTGTTGTTTCTGCCTTCTCAGCTCCAATTCATTTTTCCACCCACTCTGTCTTTCATCCGCACTAACTAACAGACATGACTTGTCACCATCAGCAACCTCCTCCGCGTGGGCAGCCCTCAGTCCCCCACACCCCGCCTTAACCTCTGAGAGGTTCCTTCAGGTTCTCGTGGCACCATCCCTCCCAGCTTTCCTACTTCCCGCTGGGCGCTCCCACGTATATACCAGAAGTTCCCAGGGCTCAAGACAAAGCTCTCTGCCCTTTCTGTCTAAACCCTTCCCCTGGGTGTTCCCATCCTGTCCTGTGCTGAGATGGTCCAGTTGCATTTCTAGCCCAGAAGTATCTGATAACTTCCAGCTGTATGCCCAACTTCATACTCAACATCTCTTCTGTATGCCCCATGGGTATGTCAAACTTTACCAGGTCAAATCAGAAGTCTAGATTTCCCTCCATGAACCTGTGCTCTGAGTCCTCCCTATAACAGTCGCCCCACCCATGTGGCTGCTAAAGTCAGAAACCTACAAGTCATCTTCAGTCCTTCCATTTCCCAGTCCCCTCACTGCCCGTCTATCAGCAAGCCGATCCCCTCCACTTCCAGACTCCCCTCCAGTCCATCCTCCATGTCCACAGGCACCACCAGGTCCACTTTGCTGTCACTTCCCACCTGGAAGAGTGTCTTCTTGGCTAGTTTCATTGACTCTTTTCTTTCCCTTCCAACCCATATTCACTCAGGGGTCAGAGCACTCTTTAACACAGAAATTACTCCTTTGCATAAAACTGCTCAGTGGCTCACCATGACACTGAAACAAATCTCCAAACTCCTTCCCGTGATCAATAAAGCCCTGCACCATCTGGCCCCTTCCCTCATGCCATGATTCCCTGGATTCTAGCCACACTCCTGCTCATGGCTTTGCACACACACCAAGCGTGTTCTCACCTTGGGTCCCCTGCACTGACTGCGCCCTCTGCCTGAACGGTCCTCTCACTGCTCTTCAAGGGTCAGCTCCTTGAGTGTCAGATCTCAGCTCAAATGACACCACCTCATTGAAGCCTTCCCTGACCACCCATCTAAAATAGGCCCTCCCCATCCCAAACACATCACTACTCTCCATCCTTGCATTCGGTTGTTCCCTTAAGAGTATTTTGTCCCTTTGATTCTCTCTCTTCCAATTCAAATATTAATTCCAGGAAGACACAAATAATGTCTTTTTCACTCCTGTATCCCCAGGCTTAACTCACAGCCTGACATCCAGTGGCCATTCAACAAATATCCAATAATTGAATTAATGATTTTTTTTTTCTTTGCATGCGTTGGGTCTTTGTTGCTGCGCATGGGCTTCTCATTGCGGTGGCTTCTCTTGTTGCGGAGCACGTGCTATAGGCACGCAGGCTTCAGTCGTTGCAGCACACAAGCTCAGTAGTTTTGGCTCACACTCTGTAGATCGAAGGCTCAATGGTTGTGGTGCATGGGCTTAGCTGCTCCGCAGCATGTGGGATCTTCCCAGACCAGGGATCGAACCCATGTCCCCTGCATTGGCAGGCAGATTCTCAACCATTGCACCACCAGGGGAGTCCCTGCATGAATGACTGAAACAAACTGCATAAACCTCAATTTACCCTAACGTTTGAAAAGTGTCTGGAGATGTTTCCTTTGGTTGCCCCTAAACCCCTTGCTCTGCAGATCCAAGTTCTGCTTTTCTGGCAGGCCGTCCCCAGTTTAATCAGAGGGCATCTGCTCTTGGCCAAACTCCAACTTCACACCTGGAATCTTCCCTGTAACCACCTACCGGGGTGGGAAGGGCAGCCAGAGCAGCCCAGGCAGGTGTAGGGGTGCTGGATATGGCCTGAGCCGAGAAAGGACGTAACCTTGGAGCAGGGGCAAGGAGCTAGGAGCTGGAGACCTGCCATCCCATCAGACAGCACTTCAGGGGAGGAATGTCAGATTTATTTGGCTTCGGGAAGGACCGGGACCAAAATCAATACTGAGCCTTGGGGTTGTATTTCTGCTTGTCATTGGCTTACACACAACTATAATAACTCCTTGTTTTAACATAGTTCTTATTTCCAAAGAGCCCCACATGTTTTATTTTCAGTTTAATGGATCCTCAAACATGTGCTGTTGGTATTCTGAAGCAGACATAACTATCACCATTTTATGCTGGGGACAGGGGCACCCAGAAAGGTTAGATGAATTGCTGAAGGTCGCAGAAAGAGAGAAAGATGGATCTCACAGTGGAAACTTCTAGGTGTAGCCCCCACTTCATGACACTATGCTGGCTAGAATGAGAAGCACCCGTTGGACTCCACCTGATAAAAGAGGTGCCTATAATACGTACATTGTCATCAATCCATATTTATTTTTAGCTGCAAACTCATATATCTACCTGCTACATGGCATCTCCATTTGGCAGCTGTCTCACTGGCATTTTGAACTCATTGTGTCCAAAGCTGAATGCTTAAGCTGCATCCTCCAGCCAAACCTGCTCCCCTTCCCACAACCCCGCCTCGGGAAAGCGACCACCACTAGCCCGGATGCTAGCGTCATTCTGACCTCCTTCTCAGCTACCCGCTTTAATGAATCACCCATCCGTCGTCTAGCTTTGCAG